ACCCCCCCGGAAAAAAAAATTAGCATATAACCCCTATGTTGTGTTTTAGTCAGCCCACCGCCCCTTTGTGTGCACTGGCTCGTTGACTTACGTGAAATGACAGAATTGTCCTTAATAAAAAATAAAGCAAAAAAGACCCCATTACCCAAATCATTTTTTTCCAAGGTATTACAGTGAAAGCCCTTTTTTCTGCAGCACTGTTACACTACTAAAGCCAGAAGAAAAAAAAAACAATTAAAAAGAAAAAAAGAGTCTTGAGAGCAAAAAATGGCTGAAATGAAGGAAGAAGAGAAGAAGAAGAAAAGGGGGTTGGGATATTGAAAGAGAGGCCCCTATTGCAGCGCACTCCCCCTTCCATCGCCGGCCAATCATCACAGGCTACTCCGAGCGGCGACCCAACATCACTGGAGACTCCATCGACGACCCTACCTCACTGGAGATCTCTCCGCCGCCGATTAATAGATCCGCCGCCTCCGTCCATGTATATTTATTTTTGTTGTTTGTTTACGTCCACCATTTTCGCCTCCCACCCACCGCAACACATCCTCCACCATGGCTGCTCCGCCTTTTTGCTCTCCAAGCGCCGCCGTGACCGCCGCCGCTCGAAATACACACTCGAGCACAAGTGGCCAGACAACCGGAGTAGCTTCTGGAGATTTGGGGGATTGAAATCAGTAAGGACTTCGGAGCAACTAATCTTCTTCACGCTGATTTGGAAGCTCCTCCTCGACGGCGGCGGTGGTGCGAATTCGAACCCAGTAAAGCCCTACATTCGACGGATTTTTGTGGAATTCTTTTTTTTTTTGGGGTGTTGCTGGGTTTTGCATAAGCTCAATTCTTTCCCTTTTTTTCTTTTTTCTTCTTTTTTCTGGATCTGGTTAAAGAAAGAGATTGAAATTTTTTATTTGTTGTCTTTCGGGATTCAATTTCAAAGTGGGAAAATGGTGGTGGTGTTGTCGGAGATGGCAGCGGCCATTTTTTTGCAGAATTCTCTTTGTTTGTTTCTTTTTTTCTGATTTTTTCTTATTTTTAATATTGTGTCTTTTTTATTTTGATTGTTTAGAAATTGAAATACTATTTAAAATTTAGTAAAATTTTTAAATTGAAATGTTATTAAAAATTTTAGAAATGAAATTAAGTATAGATATTTAAAAATTATTACAAAGTAAAGAAATACATAATTTAATATATTTTTTTAGAGAAGAAGAAGGATGTGGTGGTGCAGGAGTCAGGACAAGAGGGGCTTGATTTTTTTGATTTTTTTGAAGGGTTTTTATGTCTTTTCCTGTCCTAAAATATCCTTAAACGCACGCCCAGCTGCATAAACCGCGAGTGTATCCCACGATTCGCTCGTAGGGTCCTTATTGTCATTGACTTCCATAGGGGGTATTTGCTAATTTTTTTATCAGAGGGGTTTTTTTGACAATTAGACATTTCACAGGGGAGCCGAGTGCAAATACCCCTTAATATAAATATTAGTATTAATATTAGTATTAGTATTGGTATTAGTATCAATATAACTATCATTATCGAAGAACAAAAATGGGGAAAGCAGAAATGCAGAATAGTGATTTGTTATGATGAAGATGATTCAAAGGTAGGTTCAAATTATAAAGATTTTACCTCTTTCTTTCTTCCTGAAAATATGACTGTTGGACCTTTTTTCCTTCTGAAAATATGACCGTTGGTGGTGGTTGGGTGGTGTTTATAATTTGTTATTTGAAGTGGAGGGGGTGTATTTTTACACCCCGGCACCGGAACAATGAAAAAATGTATGGGTATAATTATTGCGTTGGAGAAGATAAATTCATACTCAAGGCATCAAATTGGCAGTTATTTCATTTAATGCTTCATTTAGTGTTTGCGTTGGACTTGCTCTAAGCTCTATAACTCTTTAGTGTCTAAAGGGTAAATTACCACCCCGCTACAAAATATTTTTTTAGGAACTATAAGCTAATGATCATTTTTTCATGACCAAAGAATCTGCGTAACCACCCTCCACTCTCAATAGCTTACAAGCAAACTAAAGTTGTATATTATGCCTAGAAGATCCGATCTAAAAAATATTGACAACACAATTTTCAAACTTAAGTAATTGACTTCACGCTTTCTTATACTATCAATTAGACCCCATTTATAGGTGTTAATTTCTCTTACTTCCCTTTTTTTATTAAAAGATATTCTGCAAACGCTGAATTTGTATTGGGCCATTTTTTTTTTTAGAATATTTCGGATTTTTTTTTTTGAGAATTGGGGTCATTTTGTAATTATTTACAAAAATACAATAAAGCGTCGTTCAAAACGACGCGCTTTAACAGCCGTTGGATTGAGCTGAGATTGACGGCCAAATCTCCTATCTTGTCCTCCTAATCTGACGGTCAGGATAGATCGCAAGATCTGACGGTCGCTAAAAACGCGTCATTTTGAATGACGCGCTTTAACAGCCGTTGGATTGAGCTGAGATTGACGGCCAGATCTCCTATCTTGTCCTCCTAATCTGACGGCCAGGGATAGATCGCAAGATCTGACGGTCACTAAAACGCGTCATTTTGAATGACGCGCTTTGACCTGTCAGATGGTCAAACGCGTCATTTCAAACTACGCGTTTTAGCGGCCGTTCGATTCTTCTCGATCTAACGGTCCTGATTTCGGCCGATAAAATATATATATATATATATATATATATATATATATATATATATATATATATATATATATATATATATATATATATATATATATATATATATATATATTCCTTAAACAATTCTAATTCACCCACAATTGTTCCCTTTGCTCCCGTCTTCCCAACCAACCGTGAGTTCTTTTTCTCTCTCTTTTTTTTTTTTTGATAATTATTATTTATTATTGTTTAATTTGTATTTTGCTAATTTATATTTGAATTAATGTAGGTAATTTTAATTAATTTCAGTAGGGTACTTATTGAGGTAAAACTTTTCACTCTTTCAATTATTATTATAGTTAAATAGAATTTTAACTATTAATATAATTTTGTTAAATTTTTATTAATAGTGGATTAATGAAATTTTGATCTAATAAATTATCAATTAATTTGGAGATAAATTATTTCTTGTATCGTTAAAATATATATAATTTATTATGAAATTCAAATTTTTATTGTTGTTTTTCGTTGTTATTTTTAGGTTAAACTTTAACTTATGGTGGATTTAAGAAGGAATGTTTGATTGTGTTTAAATAATTTCTGAAATTTAAATTTTTTGTAATGGTTTAAATATGATACGAGTAGAATAATTAGTAAGATAAATTAATTAATTATTAGTGTGTTAGTGGATAAATTGGTAGAATTAGTCATGACATTAGAATAGGTATTACCTCAACAAGACCATAAATCGTCTTTTTTACCATTAATTACTTAGTGCCATTAATTTTGACCATAAATCGTCTTTTTTACCATAATTAGAATTTAGATTTCAAATTCATGATTTCCAACCGTTCGAATTTATGGATGTTTGGTCAAAATTCAAAATCAATGACTTCAAAATTCTTATTTTTTTACTTTTCAATTTTTGAAAATTGTAAAATTACACTTTAGCCCCTCAAGTTTACATCAGTTTCACTTTTGATCCTATGTTTTAATAATTTAACATATTTTTATCCTTTTTTTTTAAATAATGTCTGAAATTTAAATTTTGGTGTGTTTTGATTGTTATAATTAGGTGAAATGTAATTTGTTGTGGATTGAGAAGGGATTTACGCTGCTAGCAAATAATAATTATTTGGAGGTATTTATTTTTTATATTGGACAAATATTATTATTTTTAATTGCTGAAATTTTAATTTTGTTTTTTATTGTTATAACTAGGTGGAAGCTTAATTTGTGGTGTCTTGAGAAGGGATTTTTGTAGCTAGCAAATAATAATATTTTGAAGGTAATTATTTGTTATATTGTATAAATGTAGTACAACTTGGAGCTATTTTTTTCCCCCCATTTTTAAATAATTGCTGAAATTTTTATTTTGATGGTCTTTTTATTATTATAAATAGGTGGAAGTTCAACTTGTGGTGGATTGAGTAGTGATTGTGGGTGCTAGCAAATCTACAATTATCTTTGAGGTAAATTAAATATTTTATTGGTTAATTTAAGTCTTACTTGAATGATAAGTTTGCTAATTTATACAAATTGTTTGTTTTTAACTGGTTAGTGTTATATGAATATGTCGAAAAATTACGAGTTACACAATGTGTTTAGGATTTATAATATACAAATTAATAGTTTTGGAACTATCAAATTATAAAAAGAATTAGAATTTTTTAAATATTAATTGTTTGTTTTAACTGATTTATAATATAACATAAGTGTTTGTAGCCGTAAAAAAATTAGAAAATATTAAATATTTGAAAAAAAATAATAATCTCAAATATCAAAATATAGGGTTTCAATGGCGACTCCGGGTAGGAATACTGTCAAAGTTTTCGTGTATATAGGAGGCCATATTGTTCATGAGGGATTGTCAGTGAATTATGATCAATCTCATCATACAGTCGTACGAGTGAAACGCGATATATCTTTCTCAGACTTCTTGGCGAAAATATACTCACGTTGCCGAATAGATAGAAATGAATTTGTGTTATCGGTGTCGGGCAAAATATCACGATGGTATCAAAATCAGTGGAGCGAGATAGTTTCTGAGATAACAAGTGATGATGATTTAGAAATCTATTTGCACCCGGATGAAGGAAACGATTCCATAGATGTTTATGTTGAGTCTCAGCCTCTATAGAATCCTTTGATGCCTTCACAATTCACTACATCAGAGCCTCTCTACTCCCCTTCGAGACCTTCACAATTCAATACATCAGAACCTCTATATTCCCCTTCGAGACCTTCACAATTCAATACATCAGAACCTCTCTACTCCCCTTCGAGACCTTCACAACATTTTGATTTGAATGATGCGTATAATTCATTTATGCAAACAAGTCCTGAGTTAGTTGCGGTTACACAAGGGTTTTCTAATATGGGCTTTGAAGCGGGGCCATCAAGGCATTCTTATCAAAATCTTGGGGTACATATTGGGGAATCAAGTGGCATGAGAAATGCTCATGAAAATTTTGATCTTCCTAATGAAACTCGCCATTGTGATAATAATGATGACGATGATCCTTTCGGAGACGCACATGGGCCAAATGTTCGAAGCGACTCTGAACCCTCCGACCATGGAGACGATGATGATAGTGGTGAAGAGAACAATGATGAGAATATCGAAGCCGTTGATGACGTTGTACAAACAATATCGCAGCCAGAAATTCCATCAACTTCCCATGTTCATGTCAGCAATCCATCATTTGCAGAAACTCCTACTCAGTTTTATGATCCACCTTCGTTCTACTCTCTGTCATTTCCTGAAATCCCAGCCGATTCCATTGATGTTCCGTCGGGTATGTGGTCAAAATTTTATGATAGCAGCAAAGGTACTCTCGAAAAGGGGATGATTTTTGATAGTAAAGCAAGGGTCATTTCAGCCGTTAGAGACCACTCCATTCGATTTGCCAGAAGAGAGTTTAAAGTTATCGAAAGTACAAAAAGAACTTGGAAGGTTATCTGCAAACACGACACTGAAGCAAGACCTTGCAGATGGAGGCTAAGGGCATCAAGAATTGGGGATAGAGGACAATTTAGAATTGGGATCTACGATGGCGATCATAGTTGCGGTATGCAAGGGATGACAAATAATCATGGCAACTTGAACATCAATTATTGCGCCGCAATTCTATTGAAAAGTGTTCGTGAAAATCCAGTTTGTGAGATTTCAAAGGCAAGAGAGATTGTGACCGCGCAAATAGGATATGAGATATCCTACATGAAGGCATGGTACACTTTGAAGCGATGCAGAGAAAATGTATATGGAACATGGGAGAGTTCGGTCCAGAAGTTGCCAAAATTTATGAAAGCACTGCAACAAAGGAATCCAGGCACAGCTGTTGAGTGGGAACATCACGCGACAAATCATCCATCGAAATTCATAATCAAATACGTCTTCTGGGCCTTCAAGCCGTGTATTGATGGTTTCAAATACTGTCGTCGGGTGATCAGCGTCGATGGAACTCATTTGTACACTAAGTACAAACATAAGATGTTGCTTGTTGTGTGTTTGGATGGGAATCAACAAGTTTTACCACTTGCGTATGCAATTGTTGATGAAGAGACCGCAAGTGCATGGAAGTGGTTTTTCAAATGCATTGACAAACATTTACTTTCGGGCATATCAGATGGTATTTGTATAATTTCAGATCGAGGAACCGGTATTTTAAGTGCCATCGATTCAATGCCCGAGTTTAGGCCCCCTCGCATCACCCATCGATTTTGTTTGAGGCATGTTTGTTCAAATGTCAACGCCAAGTTTAAGAGCATTGTGGTGAAAGATTTTTGTTACGCTGCTGGAAAACAATCTCAGGTTTGGAAGCTGAACCGGTATTTGGACAAGATTGGGGAGGAAAATCCCAATGCACACAGATACTTGATGAACATGGATCGAGAAAAGTGGACTTTAGCACATGATGGAGGGTCTCGACGCGGTCAGTTGACGACCAACTTGTCCGAGTCCATCAATGGTGCTTTGAAAGGTGCTCGTAAACTGCCTGTCACAGCTATTGTGGATTTTACATTTCATCGAGTGGTTAAGCACTTTATTAATCGAGTAGCGAAAGGTAATAATTGGGAGCAATCGGGACAACGATGGGCCGAATTTCCATTGAAGAAGTTCAAATTATGGGAGGAACATTCGACGACCCATTACATGAGAAGGTTCAACACTCGTAACTACGCTGGTGAGGTATTCACCAGGGCAAAACCTCAAGGAGGTGGAGGAAAAACACATTGTGTCGATCTTAGGGCCAAAGAATGCTCGTGTAATAAGTGGACCTTGTTTGAGATTCCTTGCTCTCATGTGCAACATGTATGTCGTGATTTCCGTTTGGATGCCGAAACTTTGGTTGCCGAGTACTACAGTGTTAGAAACCATAAGAACACATATAGTGGCGTGTTTCACCCTTTGCTGCCTGAAATGTGCTGGGAGGATGCAGATTTTGAGCTATTTCACGATGTTACCCTACGGAAAGCTACACGCCGGGGTAGGCCAGAAAGTTCTCGTATTCGTAACGAAATGGACCGACCACAAGCGCGTGCTAGAAGAAAATCTCGGGCAACACAAGAATCACACTAGTTATTTTATGTGTTATCTTATGTTATGTTAGGTTATGTATGTTATGTTATGTTATGTTAGGTTATGTTGTGTTTGTTATGTTATGTTATGTTATGTTATGTTATGTAATGTTTGTTATGTAATGTTTGACTTGAAAATTCAGTTTCGCTTTCACTTTCAAATGGCATCAACTCGGCAAAAATACCTAATAAAACCCTGAAATAGAAATAAAACAAGCAACGCAATAATATATACAAATAAAGCCGAATCTCGGACAAACGAAGACCAAAACTCGAAGATTTGATAAGC